CATGGCATTCAGAGCTCAGATAGGCCCTACAGTGGGCCTGGGAGGCATGGCTACTGATGGTGGCCCTTGAATTCTAGGAGTGCTTTGAGGTGGCTTGCCCACACTAGGGTGGGCCCCACATCCAGTGTATATGACCAGATTCCCCAGAGCTAGGAATGGGGCCTGCTACAGTTGATCCCCACAAGACTCATACCCCACCACCATCACTTGCTGTTGAACAAATGGGAACTTCAGGATCCCCAGATGATGGGGCTGAAATGAGACTCTAAACTCACTGACTTGGATCCAAACCTTGGCACCAGCTGTGTGGCCTTGGACCACTTACTACAGTGCTCTGTGCCCAGCTTCCTCATGGGTAAAAATGGGACTAATAACAACAGGGTGTGGGAGAGACTGAAGCAGATATAAGGTGCTTGGAATCACTGCTCAATAAAATAGACAACAGCAGCACCATACTTAGTCTTAGAAGATGGTCAATGACACTTTGTCAAGTGGATGGATTTAGAAAAAAACTGTCAGCTCCAAATAACAGCTGCTATTATTATTATCATCATCAACATCAGCAGGAATCCCCAAGCCTGGTTTTGCAACCAGCCCTAGTGAGGGGTGTAGCAAAATTCTCCAAACAAAATGTGCTTCCATTCATTTTGGGTTTTTGAAAAGGCCACGTCAGACAGCTCGGCGGGGAGGAGGCGTTGCGAAACCCAGCACAGAAGGATCCGGGCTGATCCTAGGCTCAGGAAGTGATGTGCCATCCACTGGAGAGAGGCCCTGACATGATGGCCACCTCCTAGGGTCCGGTAACTAGGGTTTCTGGCCTGTGGGTCCACCCTCCAGCCTCTGAGTAACCTTGGACAGCCCTTGAACCTCAGTTTCTTCATCTGTCAAACACATCTCCTCATTCCTACCCTAAGGGATGGTTAGAAAATGTGGGGATTAAATGTGGCCTGCAAATTGTAGAGTGCTGAATGTACCCTAAAGGCTTCAGTTTTGGCCTAGAGTCACAGAGCCAAACAAAACTGGCAACACTTTCCCAGAGGCCACAACAAAAGTAGTCATGTGAGGGTTGGAGAGATGGCTCAGCAGTTAAGAGCAGTGGTTGTTCTTGCAGATAACTGAGTTCGAATGCCTGCACCCAGATGGCAGCTAACTACAGTTCCAGTAGATCCAACGCCCTCTTCTGACCTCCAAGGGCACTGCACATACATCCAGGCATAACACTCATACACACAAAATGAACATAAAAAATAAAGTAGTCATGTGAGGCTCAAAGACCCACCCACAAGTACCCAAGGAAGCAAGGACACACTTATCTTTGGAGCCCCACACCCCCACACTAAGGCTCCTCCTCAGTGACAGCCTTTCTTAAAAGGTGTCCAGTGAGAGTTCATATAACAGGATGGGCTCTACCCAAGCCAGCCCCTGCCACCTCTTTAGTGGCCAGAAGAAAACTACTGAGTCCTAGCACTCCACATACCACACCCCTGGGCTCATACACACACAGTCCTCCAACCTCATCAGAGCAAAACAGGCCCTGTCCTATGACATCCCCCTGGTGCCACAGAAGTAGGGCTTTCACAACCTCCTCTCATGACTGTGAGAGTCCACACTCCACACAGTGGAAGGCGGCAGGTTCTTGAGCTCATCAAGCCTAAGGCTGGAGGTATAGTAAAAGGACATACTTGCATTAAGATACAAGGCGAGTGAGCAGTAGGGTCCTGGCCACCCAACCAAGACAACACACTGTCCACCTTCAAGACCAATGTCCCTGAGGCCCACTCAGGAAAGCTACCTCTCTTATCAGGGTACTTGTCCCTAAGTTCACCCAGTTGCCTTCCTGTCATTATGAATGCCTATGAGGTCCTCAGCCAGCAGGATCCTGTTCTTCCATTCCCTATCCACCCAAGTCCCTGAGGCCTCCAAACCCAGATCAAGCGCGTATCCACTGGGATGTGCTTCCAGCACCACATAACGCTGGTCCTTGGTATAGGAAGGGCTGTGCTTTATAGAGCAGGTCTCAACTGGCTTGATTCTATGTTCCTCAGCCTAGCACAGTGAAGCAGTAAATATTAGTGGCCCTAAGAAGGAATGGGGGACAAGGAACTGGAGGGACAAGCCAAGCCAGAAGCCTGTGAGTGCAAACAAGGGGTGACTAGGTAGGCAGTTGATATAGACACGTGAATGGATGCAGAAACAGGTGCCTGACATGTAGGGGCACGCACATGGGCCTACCCCAAGCATGGCCTTGACCTCTGCCAGAGCCTCTGGGCTCCCTCGGACATACTGGAATCTCAGAGGCCACAATCCTGTAACTCCTACATGTGTACCAAATGCCTCTGGGTATGCAGAGCCAGCTGGAGGCAGGAACACACAGGGACAGTTATATGGGCGACTGGGCCTGTCCAAGTCTCCACCATGCCCGCCATCCAGCCCTCTACTCAGAATGGTCCAGTTCACACTCACCCACTCATTCAAACCATGGAAAAGGGCTGAGTTCTCCCAGCCAGCCAAGACCAGTCCTCAGGACAGGGAGACTGGCATGAAGGTATGATCCTGCCTCTCTCACATCAATCACACCAAGACATGTGCAATACAGAACTGTGAGGGAGGTAGTATAACGGTAGAGGTCTTGGGGCTGTGGAGCTGTTGACAGGGACAAAGCGTGGCCTGGCCATCAAGGAAGGTTTACTTCTGGAAGTAACACTTAGGTTGAAACCTAACCCATAAACAGTAAATAGGAAAAAGGGGAGAGGGTGTCAGGCAGGGGACCCAGCATGTTCAAAGACCCTGAGGCTGGAGGGAACCTGAATGAGGCCTGTTCCAGGAACTGAAAGCAGGCCAGGGAGACCAGAGCCAAAGTGAGAGGGGGTGAGGAAGAAGACACAGCTCTAGAGGTAGCTGCCTGCTGTGGGAAGGAGGCTGGACTTTCTCCTGAGAGTTGTGGGCATTTATTGACTACCAACTATGTGCTTTCTAAAAAAAGAAAATCTGAATTCAGATTTTATTCATTCACATTTCAGAATTCTTAAATGGAAATGTTTTAAGTGCACTGGAGTCCGAGAATGCTATTTTTAAATGCTTTTTTTTCAAAATGAATGTATCTCCATCAATCACAGCTGTATGGGAGGATACAGATCACCTGCTCCCTATCACATAAAGTGCTCTGGACACCATCCCTCAGTTTGTAGATACACTGGCATTTATGAAGCCAGCAGCCTATGTGCTGCACAAAACTCTTAACAAGATGCCAGTGGGTGCCCCTGATCCACTAGATACGCCACTGAGTCCTCTGGAAGCTCCAAAGTACACGTTCCATCCTCAGCTCCCAAGTACTGCGCAGCCTTCCTTCAAAACACCAAGCTCAGCTGCCAAGCAGCCTAGCACCCGCTGGGGGCACAGCCCTCAAACCTGCAGCTCATCAGGCTGACACCAGCAGGATGCTTCCTGGGTTCCTAACTCAGTCAGCCATCAGGCCACATCTACCCCACACTTTCTTCAGTCTGGGCCCTGCCCACCTCCCCAGGCTCCCAGCCCTGCCCTACCTAGCCTAACTGGATGAGGGTTCCATGAACACCACTCAAGGCACACCAGCCAATCCCCAACTCCAGGAGGACCTAGGGGCCTCATCCCACCCCTCTGCCCCTAGACAGCACACACGCCTGGCCCATGTGCACAGCCAGTGTTTTCAGAAGCTACAGGGAACATGCTCAGAGCTGCTTGTTAAGCGGCCAGCTCTGGGGCCGCTAACACTCCCCTCCACCACCAGCTCTGTGGCCCCACCCAGTCCGGCTGCCCTCAACAGTCTCACTCGGGCCCCTTGAGCCACACTTGGACCAGGCAGCCCACAGTTCCTTGTAGTACTGTAGTGGGAATATAAGGGAGAGGTGGCCACCTGAGGAGGGACAGAATTCTACAGACTGCTCCAAAAGGTACCCTGACATGGTCCTGTGCAACCGCTTCCCATCACCTCTATGCTTGCAGAAAACAGTGCCCTCCTCCAGGTGAAGGCACAGAAGCCCAGGGACCCGGAACCCTCCCCCACCGCGCAGGAGGTGCCACGGGTAGAAGCGGGCAGTCCAGCCTCCTTAGGACTGGGGACTGCGGCCCCCTCCCCCTTTGTCATCCCTACTTTGAAGCAGGTGGAGGTGCTGGGAACCCTCCCCCCATCAGCACGGCCGTCCAAGCTTGGGGCTCCCCATCCTTGGGGCACCTCCATCCCTGACAACTGGCCTTCACCAACCCACCACCCCTCCCCCATTTCATTTTTTTCACCCACAACATCAACAGTCTGTGACAGTCCCTCTCCGCAACACAGGCAGCGTGGAGGAACGCGAGAAAGGAGATGGATGGAGGGCTGGAAGGGGAATTCGAGTCAGTAGGCTCGGCCCAAAGAGGCCCGGGGGCCATCACTTGCCCAGGAAGCACATGTCCCATTCTAGCAGGCCCAGCACATCTGGACCCAGCTGGCCTCCGCAGCCACCTGGTCCACCCTCCAGCTCCGCACGCGAACCCCCTTTCCCGCGGGGCGTCGCACGTGGGGGCCTCCGGTGGCCATGTGAGCGCCCCCCCCCAGTCAAGGTGCCAGGGTCGCCCAACCCCTCCCCGGCCCGCGAGCGCGCGTGGGGCGATGCGGCGCGGGGTCGCCCGCCCCTTCCCGGGATGCCGGGTCCCTGGGAGAGCCCGGGAAGGGGGCGCGGGCGCAGGCGGGCTGAAGGCAGGGGTGCTGCAGCCCGGGAGGATGCCGCCCCCCCCGCCCCCGCCGCCTGCTGATGGAGGGCCCGGAAGGGGCTCCTGCGCCCCAGCAGCGCGGGCAGGGGAAGGGCCGGGAGGAGCCGAGGGTCCGGCCCGGGTTGGCTCCAGGCCCGTCGGAGGGTCCAGGACACCCGGCCGGGTTCCCAGGCGCTGCGCCGCCGCCGGGCTCCGGTCTGTCCTGGGGTCCGCCCGGACCGGGGTCTAGCCTCGGATGCGGGTCTAGCCCCGCGCCACCCCCGCGCGCTCACCTGCGCCGGACGCTCGGCCGCCTCGGCCCGCTTGGCCTCCGTGCTGCGCCGCCGACCGCTCAGCTCGCTCGCAGCTCCGCCTAGGCCCCGGCCCG